AGGTGTATCTTATAACCTGAAGTTCAGTTTAATAAATGTCAGAGAAGCTTTTGTAGGTAGGGAAATGGTTTCATAATGTATTCCTGTTACCTGCTGGTCATATGTAATCGATTCAGCGGGGGACTGAGTAAGATATGTGTGTGTGTGGAATCTGAGGCAGATTCCTCATCTATCACTTATCTGCCAACCAGGCTACTGGGTGGTCGGGGGGTGGGGGGGAGTGTTAATTTGGCTTCTTTGTAAGTGCGGTAATCCCACTCATCTTGCCGATTGCTGGATCGGGCTGTGATAAGCCACTCAGTCTCCCTGTTCCTTCCACTCAGAACGCAGTATCGCATCGACGGCCCTTATGTTTCTGCACCTAGTGACATGAACAGCAAACATGAACGGGACACTTGAAACGAGGTCCCATGGAAAAAGGGAAATGACTGCATCTTGGCAGATGCACGGCCCATCTGAGGGCTGCGTGCCTCTTTCCAAACAAGAAGGATCGTCTGTTTTGAGGGTCGGCACAGTGCCCGACATCAGGCTTGCAGTGAGAACGGCAGTTGGACATGACTAGGAACAGTAAAATGTCTAACTAGAGAAACAGGTAAATAATCAAGCCGTCTTGATTGCATTCATATGAAATGCAAATGTTGTGATGAGAGCAATAGTGCTGATGTTCACTGAGGCAGGGATGCAGGAGCCGCAGGCACGTCTGCTCCTGTCCGGAGATAAGCTACTTACTGGCCAGCTGTTTGGAGCCAGCGAGTCGGTGTGTGGCCACACAATCCAGTGCTGTGTGACGTGATCCCAGCTCTCAGAGAAGGCATAGCGGCGTGCGCCGTCTGCTTTTACGCCTGGGTGCCAGAGGTTGAGGGGAGGAGCACTCAGCTGTGCTGGTTCTGAAAGTTGGAAGCGGGGGGCATGCCCTCCCTTCCCCCTCCTGTTTACTGATAGTGGGAGAAGGGGAGGGGCATGTATCACATGGGGCAGGTGGGTAGCAACATATAGCATGGGGAAATTAATATAAAAAACTGCTACATCCCACGCAGATTTCCTGTGAGAAGCTGGCGAAAAGCAGATGGACGGTTTAAATCGACAGTTTGTAATGAAGGGAAGCAAGGCGGCCCACTCCGGATCGGGCTGAGACTGAGACTGAGACTGAGACTGAGACTGAGACGTTCAGTCTGGTCGCGCCATGAAACATTGTCTCTTTCTATTTTGGTTTTCATTTAGTGTGCAATCCCCCCCACTCTCCATACCCCCCTGATCTGGCAGACAGACCTCACCCCTTCCTTGGGAGCTCCATGACTGCATTGAGGATTGCAGTGGTCCATCCAGTCATTTTGTATCTAATTCATTTTGGGTGAAAATCCTTGGTTCTTAATTCTTTAATGTAAAATATTATGATGGTCTTAAACCTGGTTTTGTGTTGCTGCCCACGATATTCAGCAGTAACTAAAATGAAAATGGTTTAATTATACCGCAGTCTTTAAAGAGTAGCTGTAATGTGATTTAATGTCAGAGTCTGGCATCAAATTAAAACCTGGCCACCAAGCGTGAGAGGAAGTGCTCGTTATATGGTTGCTAGGCAGCGAGGTCACTGGTTCCCGCGTCTGATAGGGTACAGATTTACATCCTGATTGCTGCCTGGACCACAAAGTTTGCTCTTTCAAATGTGGAAGGGAGGATTTCAGCACAGATACAGTTTGGGGTGCCATGTTTCATCCCGAATTACAGACTGAATCATACCATCTCCAGGGGCATCTTGCTAATAAACTGTATATTTTATATATAAGATAAGGACATCCCTGAGTGTGCATTTATGCACACAAAGGTATAGGGTGTGAAACAAAACATAAATCACTTTGACAACAGGCTACAACAAACACTTGTATATTAGCATACATGTTAGAATGGTGGCCATTACTTGATGCTGGTGAAGCACTGTTTCACTTTGAAGTTTGGCCTGATGGGACTGCATGAAAGCATCATATCAGTTTAGCTGTTATTCTTAACGCTGTGTGTGAAATAGGGATTACTCATCTAAAGGGGGAAAAATGCATAGAAATGATCGGACTAAGAGATCGCTTTTAATCAGGCATCATAGAACCCATGATTGCAATCAGTAATCAAGTCCAATCACTAGTTTATTCACTGGAGGTCAAACTGATCAAACCGCGCAAGACTCAACTGCACCCGCAATTAAAAACATGGCAGAAAGAAAGATCAAAACTGCATATATTTTGTAGACACACCGCAGGGTAATTTCCTGATTTATATACCCAATTCTGAGATAAAGGCACACTGTTAGGGACGTATTAATGATGTGATGTTGCACGAGTTAAGGGGAAATTTGAGGAGACATACACAAGCATCGGGAAGAGAAGGACAAGGGAATAGATGTGTGTTCGTCAATTTTCCTGCAATAGGTGCAAGTAAACATATTAATTCTCTGCTGCCCTTGCGGTTTGGAGACATGCTAAAAAAAAGCTTCCCTGTGGCAGGTTTGAATTAGTGATTAATTTAGGGACATTACAAGTGGGAAATTACTTAGTACTCAGTAACGAGTATCTTGATGGATTTGTAGACACCATCGATTCATGAACTGACTAAATGTGCTGGAATAAAACACACATCTTTTTTTTCCCCCAAACTGACGCTTTGGCAGAGATAATTTTGAAACAAATAAAGTGAATTAGCTACCTAAGATGGCATCTGCTGTTACTGGAGGTGAGCTTAATTGAATGTTCTTGGGAACAGTGTATAATATTTGGCACGCATCTCATTTTTATTTTTTCATTTAGTTCAGCCGATACTTCTCTCCACAGTAAATTACATATGCTTCGGATATTACGAATATTTTCGCTGTTGAAAAGTCCTCCCTCCAAGTCCCAGTCCTGGGAATTAATCTGTGATTAAAACCTACCCTGGCCCCCCACCCAGAAATCTCCCCCCTGGATACACCTGCTCGGAGTCACCGAAGTGGCACAAGTCAATATTTGCTTTAGCGCTGTCGCACAACAAGGTGCTGCACACTGATGCAGTTTGCTGTGCAGCTCCTTTAAATATGGCTGCTAAAGGCAGCGGAGAACGACTTGCTGGCCTGGTCTTCAAAGACCCCGCCTTCTGTGATATTCCTGCTCATGATGTCTGCTTGGGTTATCACTGACACCCCCACACCACATCCACCTATTTCCCTGTTTATTGTATCCAGAAGGAGAACCATCGACACCTCCCGCACATCTCTGCTGGGGTTATCATCAACACCTCCTGCCATCTCCGTTGGGCTGTCATCCACACCCCCGCCATCTTCACCCATTTTTCTGTTTATTATATGCAGAGCTCTCTGTTAAAATCATTTATTTGATTGATACTCCCCCATTGGAGTTTGGCTTAACCTACCAACCATCCCCAATCCCAGTGATTAGTTTTACCTGTCCTCCTCCACAAGGAGATTGGTTTACCCCCACCCCCCTCCCCCCAATCTTCAGTCAGACTTACCCCGATCCCACTTATTCCAAAACATAAACAGAAAAACCACATTTCATTTTTATATCTACACTTTGAGTTGGAGCCTGAGTAACACAATGTGAACAGCTGAGTAAATTGCTATCTTTATGGACCTCAGAGCTGCTTTCTGCTAAAATAACTTGTCTGTGTTTGGGCATAATTGTAAAGAATTCCGCCCTAAACAAAGCTTTAGTACAGAACAATCAGGTTCTACATTAATCAGGTTCCATATTTGTCAGGATTCGTATAAATAAGATTCTGTATCAGGACTTTTGCAGATTACTCTGTAGGACAAAGACTCACACATCCCCGTGTGTTTTGTCTTCAAAATGTTACAGTACATTGGTTCCTCAGCTTTTTCCAGAACCCCAGGACCAGTCCACTTCCTGCGGCAATAAGTAACAGTGCAAGCGAGAGGTCACGTCTGACCATGAGCCAATGTGCAGTGAAGAGGGGGTGGATTAAAATTCAGCTCCAGTCTCCTGATGACAGCCGGTTCTCAGGGCTGAATGTGAATATGCTCCTCACACTGTAAGGGAATTTTTATTTTTTTTTCACCCGGCTGGAGACGGGAAGTGGCTCGCAGCACAAGAGGAACGCCAGGAGGCCATCCGCTGGGACATCCGGCCCGAGACGATCCAAGGGCAGCCGAGGTGATAAGCCTGGGGTGCCCGTTGGCTCGGTTAAAGGACAGTACGCTGACAATGAATGTCTGCGGAAAGAGCACCCACAATGCACTGTGAAAGCTCCGCACATGGGCAGCAGCCATCAGCTGACTTTCGGGAGGCGACAGACTGGGCACACAAATTTCATACGCTGTAAACTGTATACGCGAGCTCAAGCTCTCTCTGCCACTTGATTGGTATTCATCGTCTGCCCTCGATCTTCATCCATCTGGTGCAAACAGAGCCACGCTTGCAGACATTATGGCACAGAGAATCCATGGTACTCCCCTGCGCTTGGCAGACAATAAACAATGATTATTCTGGCCTGCCATAACGTCCGATTACACACTGTATTACGTACGCTTGCAAACCGCCGTGAAATGGATCCCGCCGTGAAATGAGGGTTCACCTCCCAGGCAGGGCCTTGGCAGACGTGACGGGTGATAACGCAGATCACCTGTTAGCAGAGAACTCAGCATGAGCCTGATTTGGTGAAATTTACAGGAAATGCTGTGTCTGACCCGCGGTTCAGACAAGCACGACGTGTGTTACTAAACGTCTCCCGCTCTGTTCGGGGGAACTGACCTGGCTTCGAGCAGGAATGGAAGAGCAGGGAGCAAAGAGAATGACACCAGGGTAATTTTTTTTCATGGGAGAAAACACCATCATGTTTGAGTGTGGCCATGCCGGTTATTGAGGCTTGTTTGCGACTGCGGAAGGTCGATAATAATTTACAAGGATAATAATTAATTCTGTTCGGCGGTGCGTTTTCCAGCTGATTGACGCCATAAGGGCTGCAACCGCTAGCTTGACGCTGTCTGGTTTTCGTTACTCAAGGTCTCGCCAAGCCCATGGGCCTGGTGGAGGGGCCCGGTGGAGTGGGCCAGGGGGGTGTTGCAGCCACCCTGAGGGAGGACAGCCCCGAGGCGGATGGCAAATACGAGGAGTTCGGCTACAACGGGCATCTGAGCAACCGCATCTCACTGGACCGGACCATCCCCGACTACAGACCCAAAAAGTAAGTTTGCAGGAGGCACACCTATTGCATGTCGGTTAAGGAGATGTAGCTCAAACGCTGATGGTTCCAAGAAGGGGCCTCATTTTTCTACCCCTTTATGGGGCACTAATGCTCAATTATTCCAATGAAATGTTCCACCTACTGCAAGACTATGCCTCTCTTTGCATGAAAACCTTGAGGTAACTTAATATGAGACAGTGACAGTGCGAGACAGTGTAAGTGCTGAGTGACCCTGCTCACAGGTGGCCTGAATTTACGACGCGAACATACGGTGACTTTATTAGGACTCGTACTGTATCAGGTATCTGGCCGGCCGCAATCGAAAAGCACGGGCAATAGGATGCTGCACCCGATCCAGGCATCTATTATCCATGCAGGGCACACTGGCACCCTCCACATAAAACACCCTGACAATAAAAGCCGGAGAGGACAGCTGAAGAGAGAACCCTGACCTGGCTACTATGAGGCCAAAGAACGCTTCTCAGAAGGATAATGAAGATGTACGATGTATATGCCGGTCAGATCCGGTATTTGCAATGCAGTTTGACATTTCAGGTACAACGTTATAAAAAATGAATAAAAGAACTGCCCTGCTGGCAGTGGAATCCTCCCGGAGGAATACAAGAGGGGCAAAAACAACTGACAGAGTTTCGCTGGTGTGGCGACGACAGGAGAGCTGCGCTTCACGTCCGGAGCTGTGCTCCCTGTCCTATTAGCGGCAGTCCGCAAACGTATGGACAAGGAGAACTGCTGAATGAAGGGGATTAATTAATAATGGGTAAGAATACAAACGCACGGTCAAAATAGCATATGGAAGGCCTGCCGTCTGTGGGGCAAATCCGGGTCCGTTTTGAAGCGGCCTCCAAGGCAGGGGGCCGGTCGGACTTCAGGACAGCTGTTCTTTTCTGTCACACATCTGTGGCCCTCCTGTAATGGACCCCACACACATGTATATTTTAGCAGCAGCTGTAATCTGAGCCCTGCTATTGCGCACTGTAAGGTGTGTTTATGGGTGACCTCCGGCTGCACCTCTACTGCCGGCTTCATTTTCACACCGTCGCTGCTGCTCCTGCTGCTCCTGCTGCTCCTTTTGCGTCTTGGTGATTAGGGCTATGTGAGCCAAACAGTGGCATTGGATAACAAAGTGAATCATGATCACGACCCCCTGAAACACAGAGATGATAAATATTAATAGTATCTTCACTGATATGTACCTAGAGGTAGTTTCCTGACATACATGCTCAATCATAATACACATTTTATCTTCTACAGTTAGGTCCCTATTGCTAAATAAGTTCATATTTAAATGCTACATTCATTTTGAGGTACCAGTCCTGTGTATAGCTACTATATAAGGTTATTTTGCTTTTAAAGCATTATAAAGTATATGGCATTGACAATAACAGTGTGATATACATGAGCAACTGCCGCTCTCGTTAACCCTCTCAGCCATGACGTAGCTCCTTGTTATAAAGACACCACTGGATGTATTTTAACGATCTAAAGGGCACGGTCTGAAGCGCACGGTCTGAAGCGCACGATCTAAAGGGCACGGTCTGAAGCGCAGAGTCTAAAGCGCACGGCAGAGGTTGTTTTTGGGCGTGGCCAACAAACTTTTGCTAGTTTAGGCGCAACAGTCCAAAAGTGCTGTACTAAGTCTGCTAATTAGTTACGGGTGTTTTGGGGGAGTAATATAATATAAGCTAATCAGAGGATCATCTCCCATTTCCTTTAAGAGCCAGGTGTGCTTGCACCTTAGCAAATTGGTAATATAATGGAGGATTTGACAGATAGCAGAAAATAACGCTTCTCTACAAACGGATTTGCTAATGTGCAAATTGAAAGTGCGCGACTAGACCATCTGCGGCAACAGCAGGATTCCACTAAAGTAGAGGTCTGCATTCCTGCTGCACCTGCTGTTATAGAGTTTTCATAGGGGTTTTACTTACACAAAACCGCTCCCAGGGCAGCACCAAAAATTGTTTGGTCAGAGAAATAACCAATCAGATTGTAGAAGAGGTGGGTCCAAGCAACTAGAGAAGGAGAGACCAACCAATTACATGCCTAGGTCCCACCTCCTCTAGTTGCTTGGACCCATCTCTTCTATATTCTGATTGGTTATCTCTCTGAACCAATCATTTTATGTTCTACCCTCAGAACATTTTTGTGTAAGTAAAACTCCCACAAGCTTATAGACGGTGGCATGGGACAAAGTTTAATGTGCAGGAAGTCACTGACATGTTTGCGGGAGTGGGAAAAGAAAATGAAATAATTATTGTTCAAATTCTTTTTTTATTTTTTGAAACTATTATTTATGTTCGTGAGTGAACAGAAAGTCACGTTAAATAAGAAAAATAGGGTACTATGCCTAATTTGGATTTTTACACAGCCTACCTATCCTGAAACTTTTGGATATTAGCACATTTTGGAAGTCTCCTGTCACTCTTGTGAGCGGCTGGCTAATGATGGCAGAGCCAGCATGAAAATGCCCGAGAATGTAAGTGCCCACTTCAGGAATGGTGAATATAAAACTATATTATTATTCAAACTAATAATATGTCAAACTAAGTTGGGGGAAATCAGATATTTGGCAGCCCGTTTCATTGTCAGCGACCACAGTGGGAACCACTTGCCTTTTGCCCATTGTGACAAATGCAGTAAAGGGCTATCAGACAATGGGCACAAGTCTGACACTACAGGGCCACATGTGTTACGTTTTGAAGGGCTAGACTACACTGGCATTCACCTTAAGTACAACCAAGCGAAAAGTGTCCACTACACTAGAAAAGAAACAAAATGTAGATTTTGTGCAGATCTACTGCAAACATTGTTGCCTGAGAGTATGACTAGCCTGCTATTATGTGAAAAACGTAGCCTGTTTTACCTGTTAAACGTTGACCATAGCTGTTTTGTTGAGGCTACAGGCTTGTCTTTATTCTTTACCTGAAAGTTATTTTGATGTCCACATTAATGACCTTTCACATTCTTAATGTTTGCATTAAACAAGTACATTCTGTGCACGCGGCCATGTGGGCTCATGTCACTGTTTTGATAATGCTCCCTTAAAATAACAGTGACATACTGCGGCATTGACTTTAGACTAAATTTCTGTCGGTCAAAAGCTCAATTGCTTTCCGCTGCTCCAAAATAGCAATGTGCCAACAAGTCATCTGACTCCGCCTGATTTTACAACTGACACGCCCACAGGCGCTCAGATGGGCACAAGTACATTTGCTATTTAAACGACGTGGGCACTGAACGGGAAAATGACACCTGCGTTTGGCTCATGCCAGCAAAGACACCTGTGTCGTGCCTGGCGCCGCTTAACGCCGGATGCTAAATAGGGCCCAATATCTTTTGCAGCCTTCAAGGACAGAAACTGCAGGCTTTTGTTAGTGTTTATTTGTCTATATGAACGACCGCAGGCCCAACGGGGCAGCCAAACGCTGCACATGAGCATCGCTCCAGACCGCCGTGTCCAGACCATTGCGTCCAGACCGCCGCGTCCAGACCGCCGCGCTTTCACTCACGGTGAATGCTGCCCGTCGATGCAGACTGCTGGCAGCTGTCCAGAAGGCCGTGGTCTCTCTGATACTGGTCTTCCTCGCGCCGTGCCTCCCGTCCCTGCCTTCTCTCAGCCATCGTTACACGATAAACAGCTCAGGGCACAATGTCTGGTCGCCTCCCTACGCAGCAAAATATCGACTTTGCAGTATTGACATTCACAATGTATTACGATTCATGCAGCATAAAACACGAGCCGTATCACACAAGATGGTCCCACAGATCAGGTAGGATAATGCATTACACTGTATTCAATAAACATGCTTATGCTTATTCAATACCTGAGCAATAAATTAAAATGCATTTTACTACACAAGGCTCATCCCTCCTTATTAACTGTCCTGTAACAGTGTGTCACCTCGTTCTGGATGCTGAAACCACTGCATGTTTCCCATATTATTCTAATCATTGGCTTGGGGACCCTGGAATTCCCAGGCACAGGAAACACTACAGACTCCCAATTCCCAGAATGTCAAAGGCCAGATGGACTCTGACAGAATTCCGCATTCATAATCTGTATGAACTCAACTGACATTGCCAGTAATAGCGCCACACTGCCTATTCAGTGTATGGTTATACTCCAGCCTTTATGTGCTGTGGTGGGCCAGCTGTTCTAACCTGACAGGTAGGTTACATGCTAGAGTGTTTAGGTTACTCTCAGCTTTCATTCATCATCTGTTTATTTGAACAAGTGAAACAAAATACACCATTATACAGGAAGAAAGCCTCCTTCACAAGCTGGCTAAATAACCTGAAATGTATCTTCCTCAGCTTCTCCTGTTCGGTAGGGCTGCTGGCTGCTATATGATCCAGGCAACAGTGTTTATCCATTCCTGGACTTGTCTAATTGCAGTCACTCCTTGGCGATGCATCTCATCATTTCAAAGTATATGTTTCCCAAAAAAGCCTTTTCCCGCTTCCACCGGAACTCACATCTCGTATTGGGGACACCCGCATGAAAGTCTTTCACTAAAGGCAGGTCTCAAGCCTAATGTCATCGTTAATTGGCCCAAGCTGCAACATTCAATTATCAAAACCATGTTTTCCAGAATTGGAAAGATTTGAGAAAAGAGACTAACTTTCTCTACTGAAGTTGCATCTTAATATGTTTCTGTCTGTCACATTTATCCTAAATTCCGTATTATTTGGTGTTATTTCAGAAGCAAATATATATTACCCTGAAGAAATATAACATTTTTAGCGTGTCCTGTGTTTATCTAAGCGTGACATTTTATTTTATTTTAAAAGACTGAGATTCATTTTTTGGATGATCTATGAAGACCAAACCCGTTAAAGGGAACCTGTTTTATTACCTCCTTGGGGAAGTTCAGGATGACTTCCACACAGCACTGGAATCTTCAACACTCCTCGCGCTGTCAGAGCCAGCAGTCTCAGGGGGAAAAAAACATGTCAGACGTTTGTTTTTTGTTTTTCTT